AGGTCGGAGACGCAGATCGCGGTTGACTACATGGAAGTCCAGTGACATAGCCATTACGCTAACTGCTGGTCCCTGTGTTCTCTCTTCTAATGAATGAGATTGTTACTGACCCAAAATCTTTTAGAATAAGTTTTCTCCAAAGATCTTGGTGGATTGGCTCCATCTATTCATTAGGCATGCATAGACATGGCCCCTAAGGTTCAGTTTACACAGGATAAAACTGAGAACTACCCTACTAGCTACAAACTATATTTTCTTTCAGTAAATATATTCACAAAATTTTCTTTCCCTTAATAAATATTCAGAATATCTGCTACGTTGTGAGTACTCTGCAAAGCAGTTGGAAGACTACAATGAAGAAAAATTGGGGAAAATTGGAAACATTCTGACATGAACCAAAAAGATGAGTAGATACCTCATCTAGCAGTCTGTTCTGCAGAAGTTCAACCTCTCCCTGTCTTTGAGCTCTGTTACAACTCTCTACATTATACAAAACTGGCAATAATGTGAATGATTCTTGTCCATAGAAATGCAATTGATTCTTACCCTGTGGCTATTGACCAGTTTGCCAGCTTTACTTGTATTTGCAAATTATTATCCACATACCTAATGCTTACATAATGTTTATCTGCCCTTTGAATTCTTTGAAACATTTGTGACATCTTATAAGTTCCTGCATTAGTTAAAGGGTTAAATGACATGTTTTACATAGGCTCATGTTACATTTGCTAGCAAATCAAGATACTACAGCTTTAAATATTTTTCCTTTAACAATACGACATGGACTTTATAGAAGCTATAAGCTAAGTATGCACTGCATGATCTTGTAAACTGTACATCGGCAGGCACTTAAGGCACTCCAGAGGTTTATAACAGGGGGACTTGATACTGTCTATTTAGTCAGGGCAGAATCCCCCATGAAAGTAGCATTTGAGCTGGTCAGGTAAGAGTTTACGAAGTGCATGTGTAAAGAAGAGAGGCATTCAGGAGTGAGCCAGCTTGTTCTAAGAACAGCTCAAGATAATTTCTCCCAGAAGGAGATTTGTGGTCCTGGGGGAGAGTGGGCTTTGGACAATACTTCAGAGAAGCTGGCAGATTTGGCAGCTGTCATTGTCTGTGCTTCATGATAAGAGAGTTTGCCAGTGAGCCATCTTCAAATGGGATGAGGCCAACAGTTTGGGGAGATGGCAGCCGAGAACCCAAGGGCTGGCTGTCTCTCACCTCCTTTTCCTGGGAAGAGTGCTCCAACCACTTGCTTTGATGATCAGTCAAACAGCCTCCTTTGAAACACATCCACAGCAAGCCTAGCCTGTGATGCTGCATTTCAGAAAGGGGTGGCATCTGACAAGAGAAGGATACTTGCTTTTCTTTGTGAGCACTATTGGCCATTAAATTTATAGTTATCAAACCCATTGTTATTTACTAAGTGTCATTTTATAGTTTCCTTACCATTTTTGTTCTGGAACCTGGATTCAAGTGATTTCCTGTGCAAGCCCCACTAGCTGGAATGCTCCCTTTTCAGGGCATCTGATTATTCTTGTATTTTATTTATTTCTCTATCCTAGTGTCATCTCAGAATGACCTTCTGAATTGCCTCATCTAAAATCATCCCTTCCTCTTTCAATTTTTGTCATGTAATTCAGACAGTCAGTACATATTAAGCGGGGATTTATAGTGCGTATTTTTCAAAGTCTGGCTAACTTCGCTTAACACTAAATCTTCTATGCTCATCCATTTTGAGTTGAACGATAGGATCTCATTGTTTCTTATGGCTAAATAATATTCCATAGTAGAGAGGACAAGTGTAGATGCCAGAGACACTAAGGGGAGGGGATAGAGAGTGAGTGGAAGAGGGTGGTTGGGAGGGGCAAAGGAAAGAAACATTTAATAGACAAAAGAATGTAAAGTTCTCCCTTAACAGCTGTTCAAATCCTGGACCTGATAGCTTGGAAATCATGCAGGACACATGTGTATGCATGCTCAAAATACCAGGGGAACAATGGAGGAGAAGGGATTGTAGCATGACCATCTCCCCCAAGAGGGTGATTTTTTACTTTCCCTCTCATTATCTCTCTCTGTCTCTCTTATGAGCACATTTGCCCTGTGGCAAAAACCAAAAATGAAATAAGGTAAACATCCTATAATTTTTGCTTTATAAACAACAACGAAAAACAAGATAAAATAATCTCTTCCTCAGTCTCTTCCATTTTATCCTTCAATAGCATAGGCTACTATCTCTTATCCATTAGCCTTCTTTGCCTCTTCTACAGAAAATTTTAGCTGAGATTAGGGAAAGGGCAGAAGTCGAAAACACCAATTGAAATCCCTCTTCATGGTCCTCAAAAAAAAAAAAAAAAAAAAAGAGTCCACTTTCCATAGATTTCTATCTTTGGTGTAAGCATTTCTTGTCTGAGAAATCCATTCATTAGCTGTTTGGACTTTCTCAAAAGGAACACAAATCCAGTGAGGAAATTCAAGTGAAAAGATTCTGATAACTCTAACTGCTACATATATTTTTTTAAATATTGTCTTTATAGGTCTGGAGAGGGTCTCTTGGCCCCAAAGAATCTTCCTCACAGATCACTGATTAAGTTGCAAATCTGCAAATTCTATTAGATTTAATTGACCCTTTGTCAAAGTCAATTGCTCCAGGAAACACAGATATACATGCATCCATATGTTTGTACAATTCGACATCTGCCCTGAGGAATTCTACTTTTGGCTTTACTAGGTATTAACACCTTGATGTGAATGAAATCATTGTATTTATCACCTGAAAAATCCCAGTCAAAAAGACAGTATATTGGCTATGTATTGAATAGTTCACAGTTCACAATATCCTTCATTTATGCATCCCATGGGCCAATCACCATATCAAACATGGAATATCTCATTTATTTCATGCAAACACCCTAAGAAACAGATTTTCTTGTTACTACTTATAGGAGGAAGTAAATCCAGGAAGATTAAATGGCTTGCACCCAGTTACACCAAGATTCAGAACCAGGATTTCAACCAAGGAAATCTTACTCGAGCCTCCACAGTCTAAGAACTCATGACCCGTTTTCCCTATTTACCTTCAGTTAACTCACACAATTGATGCTGTAAAGATGGCATCTTACACATTTAAGTTTTGAAAGCTGATACTCAACCAGTGAAGTGAATTATCTCAGATGGTGGTTTCAGCCCTGTCTGTGCAGTAGAATTACTCAGAGCTTTAAAGATCTCCATGGTTAGATCTATTGTCTATTAAGGGATCCTGATTTATTTACTCTTGTTACACACATACACACACTGGATCCCTGTGCAACCAGAGTTGAAAAATAAAAACTGTACTAAACTTGCTAAGCAAAGAGGTAAATAGGCATATTTTAGTTTGTTGTTGTTTAGGTTTTTGCTATAACATGAGTGTCCTCACCAGAGAGAAAAAAAGAGAGAGACAGCGAGAGGGAAAGCAAGAAATCACCTCCCAGGGAGTATGGCCACACCACAGTGCCTTCTCCTCCTGGGATTTTGGGCATGCACGCTCATGTACCCTGCGTGATTTTCTAACTGCTAGATCTGGGATTCAAATCATGGTTGGCCATGTGGGAGTCCAGTACCTTAACTGCTACACTGACTGCTTGCTCCAATTTTAGTTTATCTTATTTATTCCTTCCCTGAGCAAGGGAGACAAGTGAGAAGGAGAGAGAGAGAGAGAGAAAGAAAGAGAGAAAGAGAGAGAGAGAGAGAAAGGCACTACCATCTAAAAGATTTTAGTTTATTTGTTTTAGGGTCTTGATGCTGCAATCCTTCCCCAGCCTCACCCACCCAGATCATTAGCATCTGGCATACACAGGGAGCCCTCAGAACACAAATAAACAAATCTGGGACCTTCTAACATGGCTTAGAATCCTGAAGCTTTGCATTACAGCTGTTCCACTCTGGGTGATCTCATAAAGGAATTTCTATTCAGAATTCTTGAATTGAAATCCTTGGTCATCATACAGGGATGAGATTTTCCATGGAGAACTTTGACTTACCACACACAGGAGTCGCTGCATTTTCCACCAGCAATCCAGGCAATGTTAATGCACTATGAAGTCTGAGAATCTGTGCCAAAGAAAACCACTCTGCATGGAACTGTCAGGCCTAATTCTCAGGTGTGTAGCAGAGTGAAAAATCATGACTTACTTTAATATTGCCTCCATTTGCCTTATCTCCCTTTAGACTGAGAGAGCTTCTGGAAACAATGTCTACCTTGTTCACTGCTCTCTTTCTACTTAATAGCACCACACCTACACATCACAGTGATTGGAAGGCGTTTGCTGGATTATGCAAGGAAAAAATGGTAGAAGAATGGAAGTCCAACTGAGATAAGAGTTATTAGAAAACAAGATTCTTTCAACAAATAAGAGGCAGTTTGCATTTTTTTATGTGTCAGACACGGTGCACAGGGATGAGAATAGCATGGTATGAAATAAAGTATCTTTTCTTATCAACCTTATATTTTAATAGAAAAACTTAAGCAATACACAAAATAGGGTTATTACTAAAACTGATAGGCACAATGAAGAAATTCAAATAGAGAGTTGGTGTGAAAAATGGGTGGATTACTCTCTCTCATCTACTTCCACATTTCGATTGTTTGGACATCCCATGGCCAGGTGCAAGCACTCCGATTAGGATCCAGTTATGGTAATCCCATCCACCTTAGCAATCCACTTTAGCAGTGGTTGGTTTAGAGAAGGCAGGCGATCCAGTTCTGAACAAGGACCAGTGAAGCAAAGTCTGTGGTCAGGGGTGGGCTTATCTAAAAAGTTTCTTTGATCTCCAAATAAAATGATCATAGGAGCAGTGGCTTAGTCCTCTCATGGGCTTTGTTGCATTTGTATATGACATGACACCCAGAGTCACACAGCCTTTTTATGGCCAGGAGGAGGAACAGACTGATGAGATATATCTGGGTTTCTGGAGACATCACTGAGCTGTATTTACGAGCTGCAGAGACATGTACCTCTCTTATGTGAAATAATACATCTTTATTTTCAAAATTGGTTTGAATTTAATCATCCCTACTTATATCAAAGGTATCCTAAATAATGCAATGAAATATGGTGAAATATGGTGTGTGGGGTGAGCAAGGGGTGGCATAATCTAAAGAGGGTCTCTCTGAATTATGACAGTTGAGCTGGAGATTTAAATAATGAGATAGAACCAATATTCTGAATTCCTGGAAGCAATGAATTCAGGCAGAGGACATCAAGTGCAAAAATCCTAAACTGTGAAGGAATGTAGCATGTTCAAAGATTTGGGAAGGAAGCCAGCTGAGGTCAAGGGGGAGCTGTGCTGTGTGAATCCACCAGTGGCATCACTTAAGAACCTCCAAATGAAAACAGAGATCAAATGATACAGGTGTGGTAGGCCAACAAATGTTCCCTCTCCAAAGGTGACCATGCCCTATTCCCAGCCCAGTGAATATTTTACCTTTATGGTGTCTGATTTTAATTTTTATTTCACTGATAACTGGATACCCCAGAATAATTTATAAAGAACAGAAGTTTAGGGCCAGCATATGGTGTAGTGGTTACAACACTGGATTCCCGTATGGCCAATTGTGGTTAGAATCCTGGACCCAGTGGCTTGAAGCTCATGCAGGGCTCATGTGCATGCATGCCTGAAATCCTGAGGGGAGAATTGAGGAAAAGGCATTGAGGTGAGACCATCCCCCCTGGGGGGGTGATTTCTCACATCTCTCTCTGTCTCTCTGGCAAGCATATGTGTCTTATAACAACAACAGAAAACTCTCAAAAATAATGAAAAAGTAATAGAGGTTTACTTGGCTCATGGTGTTGGAAGTCTAAGGACAGGGGGCTATATCTGGTGAAGGTCTTTTTGTAGGGATTCTGCAGAATCCTGAGACAGCTCAGAATATCACATGGAGAGAGAGAGAGAGCAAGAGCAGGGGGCCTGTGTTTTAGCATCAGTTTTCACCTCTCTCCCTTTTCTAAAGCCATCAGAATTTAGTCATGGAGGCCCTGTCCTAATGACCTTATTTAATTTGAATCACTTCTCAAAGTCCTCTTTTCTGAATACTATAATCAGAACAAGTGTCTACCCTATTAATATTGTCATGATAGGAATAAATCTCAACATGTGAATTTTGAGGGGACACATTCAAACCATAACACATGGTGAAAAGAACTTTGCAGGTGTGATCAAGTTAAAGAACTTGCATGCTTTGAGACATCTTATTATACACCATGAAGATGCACAATGAGGGACCAGCAGATGGCATAATGGTTACACGACTGGATTCTCACATAGCCAACTGCAGTTTGAGTCATGGATCCAGTGGCTTACAAGTCATGTCAGACACGTGTGTGTGCATGCCCAAAATCCCAAGAGGAGAACGGAGAATAGCCATCCCCCCTGGTGGGGGGTGTGTGTGATTTCTCACTTTCTGTCTTGTTGTCTCTCTCTATCTCTGGGGCAAGTGCACACGCCCTATTGCAAAATCTTTCTTAAAAAACAATGTACAATGATTAAATGTGGATATATATTGGGTGATCAGGAACATATATATGATATATATATATATTTCAGATAGTAAGACTATCCTAGGTTATCTCTGAGCCCAATGTAATCACAGAGGTTCCTCTGAACGTCTTTGTAAGAGGTGGGATGATGAGACAGAGAGCGAAGGCAATGTGACTCCAGAACAAAGGGATGAAAGGCTACGTGACACGGGGCTGGAGCCAAGGAATAAGAAGTCTGAAAGAGGTAGATTCTTCTCTAGGCTTCCCAAAGGACTCAGTCCTGCCAACACATTGACCTTAGACCAGTAAAGCTGATTTTGGACATCCAGTCTTTAGAATTGTAAGATAATAGATGAGGATTGAGGTCACTTGGTAGAGGAGACAAGAGAAACTAAGACAATATGGCATTGTATGTTAAGATAAAAAGTTTAATCTAATGGAGAAGTTTTTTGGGGGAAAGATTTTTGCTATAGAGTGTATGCACTTGGTAGAGAAACAGAGGGAGAGAAATCACACCCACCCCAGGGGATGATCACACCGCAATCCCTTCTCTTCCATTTTCCTCTCAGGATTTTGAGTGCACATGCGCATTAACTCAACGTGAGCTTTAAGCCACCAGATCTGAGACTCGAACCACAGTTGACCATGTGGGAATCTGGTCCTTAATACGGAGTTTTAAGCAAGAGGATATTCTAGTATATACAGAAACTCCCCTGCATGGTGGAGAAGTAGAATCAGATGCTACCCCAGTGGTTGAGAGGATAAGTGACCATGAATGTGGAGGTAGAAGGGAAGGCGGTCACAAGGAGGGTAACCAGAGGTTTCTGTCCTCTAAAGATGAAAAGGATTCCTGAGATGAGGAGCTTCCATTACTAAAATTGAGAGCATCTCAGACAACCCTGGACATAGTGGTCACCCTTGTGAGAAGTGACAAAATTTTAGATAATTTTAGTCATATTTTACTAACTTAAAAAACTCTGTGGAAAAGTGGAATTGAAGTACATGTTTATTATGCAACACATTTTTAAATTATTGAGTAGACTTTTCATAATAGGCATTTTCCGTGAACTTTTTGAAGACCATTGTAGGTAGGAGACTGAGTCAAGGCACCTACTGATCTGTACGGGCTAAAAGATGGTAGTCTGAATGAGTCCTAAATTTGTGCAAGAAAGTGAAAGAATGGTGGTTCCATTTAAGAAACTGAGGAAGACATGAATCAAGAGCTTGTGAGGGACCTATTAAAGAGGCCAACTGGACACCCAGGACTGGAGAGGAGAAGGATATTAACAAAAAATATTAAGTGGATTACTTCCTCTACTTTCCCATTCTGCTAAGCACAAACCTTGAAGTTACTGAGTCCAGGGGCTATTTTTTCTTCATTTGAAATAATCGTGACAACTGCTTTGTCCTTACAAATTGAGTTTGTCTTCTAAGGTGTTTGCCAGAGCTTTACAACAGGCTTAATCAGTTTCACATGAATTAATGATGGCTATCAAATGGGTGGAAAAGAATGAATTCCAAATAAATACTTATTGCATAATTGAAGTTGCAAGAATCCACTATGAATAAAATATATTTGTATTTACAATGCATAAATCTGGTGGTGACACTGTGGGGCAACACAAGGCTTTTGGATAAGCACCCTGAACAGTGTTAAATTAGTAATAGGCTGAATACATTTCTTAATTATGTCACAGGCGTTGTGCTCAGGAATACCATTTGCAATAAATTGAGTCCCATTTGTATGCAAGCAGTACAAAGAGGAAGTGCTATATTTTGAAAATCCTAATGTACTCATGGGAGCACAGGTTAATGTCATCTACTGCTTAAAATCAGCCCTTGGTTTCAGAGCTTGCAATTGTATTAAGACTTATCATGTTCTCGTTTCATCAAGATAATAATTACTATGGATTTACATATCCTGCCACAAGCAGAAACGTGGGTCCTTCAGGGCTTTTAGAGATGAGAAGTTACATAAGAGGAGTGGGCAGGCTTTATACATGTATGTACTTTTTTACAAAGCATTTTTTTCATTGAAAAGACTGTGAAATAGATGAAGGCAAAAATCACAAAAATAAAAACTATCCACGTAGTGGGTTGAATATTGACACCAAAATCAACAAATGCATAAAGAGATAAATAATTAAGTCCTAATCCCTGAGACCTTTAAATTTGGCCTTCTTTGAAGGATCTTGGCAGATGTAATTAAGTTAAGGATCTCAAGGAGCAGGCCTTATAATACATATAGGCCCTTATAAGGGAAGATTTAAGATTTGAGACACAGGATATAGACAAGGGTTTTATACATTCCATGAAAGCAATTTCTAATAGAATAAAGCTTGGAAACAGAGACATGAAGAGAAGGTGATGTGAAGACAGAGCAGAGACTGAGAGATCCCTTCTATGAGCCAGGGAACACCAAGCAGGACTAACAGCCGCTAGAGACAGGCAAGGGACAGATTCTCTCCCCAGAGTTTTCAAAAGGAATCCATTTTGATTTCTGACTCCAGGTTTCCTTTTTTGTGGGATAATAGATTTTTCTTTTTTTTTTTTTTTTTTTTTTTTTTTGAGAGGTTTTTGCTATAAGGTGCATGCACTCACCAGAAAGACAGAGAGAAATGGAGATATAGAAAGCGAGAAATCACCACCACCACCCCCACCCCACCCCCAGGGGAGGATGGCCATACCGCAATCCCTTCTCCATTCTCCTCTCGGGATCTTGGGCATCCATACACACGCGCACGGCGTGAGTTTAAGCCACCCGATGTGGGACTCAAACCACAGTTAACTACATGGGAGTCCAGTGACATAGCCATTACACCAGTTGCTGGTCCCAATTTTTCTTGTTTTAAACCAGCAAGTTGGTTGTTATTTCTTATGGTAGCCCTAGAAAACTAATACAATCAGTATTTCCATTAAACGGTGAGAAAACATCATTGCCTTCTACAGGCAAAAGAGACATATTATATAAGGTAGGGACTATGAACACTCTATCTTAGGGGGAGGGAAGAAAATGGAGGCACAGAAAAATGAAGCAATTTGTCAAGGTGATTTAGGTCATCAATGCTCATGCTGACACTCAAACTCAGGTAGACAGGCCGGAGAACTGTGTTTCGATACGGTAGCCACTAGTCACATGTAACTATTTAAGTTAATCACAGTTTCATAAAAGTTCAAAATTCAGCTCGCCAATACCAATAGGAACACTGCAAAGACTCGGTAGCCACAGTCAGTCAATGAGGATCAGAGAATATTCACCACCACTGCTGAGAGTTCTATGGAATTTTCCATGGAGTCTGCAAGACTGATCACTATACAGTCTTGTAAAGCGATATTTGTAAATGGTCTCACACGATGTCTGTCTTAGGGTGAGAGCTGCATAAATCATATTTATATTTTAAAAGATTTGTTTCATATGTAAGCGTGTGTGTATATCCGTTTGTATGTCTGTATCACCTATCCATATGTGTTTATGGGAGATGAGATACTTGCACCCACAAGTCTATGTTTTGTGTGGCTAAGGATATAATATTTGCTCCTTTTATTCATTTTCCTGCTTTCTCCCAATGAATAATACGTTGCAAGACCAGACCTTCTGGTGGACTTTTGAATTCTTGGAGACAATCTCTACGACTGGTTCCTGGACACCGCCCTCCTCTCTGGGTACTGTGAAATCTCTTTATTAGAAGCAATAATAGCCTATTATTGGTATGAATACTGAAAGTAAAGTGTTTCTTCCAGAAATTCTCTGGAACTAGATAGTGCCACAGGGTCCTGGCTTACTAGGGTCATTTCTAATTATGGGGGGATAGATCCATCTGGAATGAAGCCAAGAGCCCAGAGATGAAGAGAGGCATGGAGTCCAGGGAATCTCATGTAACCCCTAGATTCAGCTGGGCTTGAGGCTAGTCCGCCCCCAGACTTCCCAGCATGTGCCCTAATGATTTACTCCTTCCACCATGGTAAGCTGATTTGAATTGGATTTTGTCTTTGAATGTTTTTGAAATTTTTCAACTTTTATGAAACTGTGATTAACTTAAATAGCTACACGTGACTAGTGGCTACCGTTTCTAATAGCCTATTATCATAGATGACCAGAATCCTAAGTTAGAAGTTTGTGACATGGTGGTCAATCTAAATAAACATCAGGCTTTTCAAATGTATTGGAACCGTGTGTGATAACAGATCATTGTAATTTCTGTATAATAACTGACTTTGAACATAACATTTGACTCTCTATTTGACTACCTGAGTAATAATAACATACTTTGTAATAACTGGCTCTTACTGTAAAAATAGCAATAATTGATTCTGTGTAATAAATGGCACATTATAGTAATTAAATCTCAAGGTAATAATTCAGTGTAATAGTTGATTCTAGTGTACTAATGGATGCTGTGTAATCGTGGACTCAGGGTGTGATAAACTCCCTGTGTGATCCCTGATTGAGAGCAATAATTGACTCTGGTGTAATAATCGACTCCCTGTGTGACCACTGATCCACAGCAATAATTGACTCTAATGTAATAATGACCTCTCTATATAATAACTGACTCGGATTCTATGTAACATTTGGATTCCTGTATAATAATTGAATCTCTGTGTAGTAACAAGCTCCATGTCTAATAGTGAACTCTCTGACCATCGGCAAAAACGTGCAAATGCTTAGGCTACTAGAGATTACTGTAATAGGGCATTTCTAGCTCTGGGAGAGACAAAATCCAATTCAAATCAGCTTACCATGGTGGAAGGAGTAAATCATTAGGGCACATGTTGGGAAGTCTGGAGGCGGACTGGCCTCAAGCCCAGCTGAATCTAGGGGTTACATGAGATTCCCTAGACTCCATGCCTCCCTTCATCTCTGGGCTCTTGGCTTTATTCCAGATGGGTCCATCCTCCCACATAATTAGAAATGACCCTAGCAAGCTAGGATCCTATGGCACTTAAAGTGGCTGCTTCCAGGGAATTTCCGGAAGAAGCACTTTACTTCAGTGTTCATATCAACCCCTGCCCCTGAAAGATCTAGCTACCCTGGCTTATGTGCTCACACCTGAGACAGTAAAGCAGACAGCTTGATTGACAAGTGCATCATTATCCCAGAGGGTGGGACATAGTTCAGAAATGAATGGATGTGGAGCAGCAAGGGAGCTGCAGCCTCTTGAGCAGTGATGTGAACTCCATGAGTTCATCCCAGCAAGTTCTTCATTCCTTAGGTGATCCAGGCACTGTCTTTAGAATGGTGGTATGAGTAGGACCAGCAGATGGTGTAATGGTTACATGACTGGACTCCCACATAGTCAGCTGCGGTTCCAGTCCCAGACCTAGCAGCTTAAACTCGGGTGGGGCACACATGAATGCATGCCCAAGATCCCGAGAGAAAAATGGAGGAGAAGGCATTGTGGCATGGCCATCTGCCCTGGGGGATGATTTCTCACTTTCTGTCTCTCTTTCCAGCAAGTGCACACAACCTATAGAAAAAACTTCTAAAGATAAAAGAACAGTGGTATGACTGATGTCTGCCTGTATAAACTGGCAAATGTACAAATACATGTGTTTCTTCTTTTGTGTTTTTAAATTTTTTTAATATATTTTATTTTAATTTATTTTATTTTAATTTATTTTTAATATAATTTATTTTAATTTATTTTATATATTCAATCACTATACATCGCTTAGCTTGCAAAGTGAATTTTCCAACATAAATACATTGCATACTAGTAGAAATGTATTTCCAATTCCAGTTGACAATAGTATACACATTGTCATCAACAGACAATCCATTTCTGTGTCCCATAAATACCTTGACTCTCTATTTTTTGGGGGTCATTTTTTGTGTTTTGTATTTTGTAGGAACACAAAATCCTCTTTCTGAGCTACCCTGCGATAAACAGTAAATTGTTGTTAACTATAGTGACCCTATTTACTTTATGACACTACAACTTATTCTTATCTATGTGTGATTTTGTTCTTGTTTACCACCACCTGTCCATCTACTTTCCTCTCTACTCTCACAGCCTCTAAGTCATTCTTCAACTCTTACAAGGTCAGCCTTTTTCAATTTCTATATATGAGTAAGAGCATGTGGTATTTCTCCTTCTGTGGCTAGCTTATTTCCCTTAACATAAATCTTCCAGGTTCATCATGTTACTTCAAATGACAGGATTTCATTCATTCATTCCTAATGGCTGACTAGTACTCCATTGTGTATATATACTACATTTTCTTCATCCACTTGTCTATTGATGGACATGTGTAGATTGATTCTGAATCTTAGCTATTATGAAAAGTACTGCACTAAGAACTGGGGTGCAGATACCCATCAATATACTGATTCCCTTTCCTTTGGATATATGCCCATATTGCTGGATAATGTGGTAGTTTTATTTTGAGTTTCAAGGAAACTGCATATTGTTTTGCATAACAGGTATATTAGTAGGCTTGGTGGATAGAGAACTTCAACAAGATTGCCTAATTTAGAAGAACAACTTTAGTTTTATTCTGTGCAGAGATAGAAATATTAAATCTGTTTAATGTAAAATCCACCCAAGAAACAACTTTCTGGCATTTTCAATGAAGACCGGAACCAAATATTAATACTTTGGTGAGTTTCAGATAGAGGGGCCAGTAGTTTGTGTAATGGCTATGACGCTGGACTCCCATGTAGTTGTCTGCAGTTTGAGTCCCGGACCTGGTGGCTTAAACTCACACTGAGCACTATGTCCGTGCCCAAGACCCTGAGAAGAGAATGGAGGAGAAGAGATTACAGTGTGGCCATCTCCTCTGGGGGGTGATTTCTCGCTTTCTGTCTCTGTTTCTCTCTCTGTCTTTCTGATGAGCACATATACCCTATAGCAAAAACCTCTCCAAAAAACAAAAGGAGTTTCCGACAGAAATTGTATTGCCCAAACTCATCACCACTGGGGGTATATACAGGTATATGCCTATATTTGCCTGCCCAAATATTTTCTGGTGGAGCAATGGGTCTCTCTGATGGAAAACACATTCCAGAGACTTGGTATAGGCCCTGCCTTTCTGCTACCAAGTCAGAGGGCTCCATCTCATTCATCACAGTCATTGATTCTGAGGTGAGCACATGACCTGAGCTGAGTCAATCAGTCTTCTTAGAAACTTTTCTTCAAAAGCCAAGGGGGGACTCAGTCTCATCATGATGAGTGGGACTAGCTCTAGTGTATGAGTTTGAGAAGGCTCATGACATTGTGTCTGCTCTCCAGGTAGACTGACCTTAAGAATAGATTCCTAATTGCATTCTCTACAATCTTGGCTAAAGTAGGTGAGTCTGAAGCCAGTAACACTTTGTGTTTTCTTAGTTAGTTGAGTTGGTCTACAAGCCAATCAAATTTATTTCTTTGAGTTGGTTTTCTGTCACCTGTGACTGTTAAAACATCTGTAGTTTTTCTCATGTTAATGTGCACTGGATAGGCAATGTTTCGCAATTGCTTAAGCCAATAGGACTGCCTTGTAGGCCTACTCAAGACTGATCTCAAACAGACTGTTACATAGTTCCTGCAACATTTCAGGTTTCCATCAGATTCTCTTACTGTGGCTGAGTGGCCCATAAAACAGAATAACCAGACAATGCCTCCAAAAGTCATCCTGAGAACATGCTCTTTTTTTATTTTAATCTTAGAAAGAAAGTGGAACATTTTTCATGTCTCTGGCAGCTCCATTATGATGCATTTGGACATTTTTGATAAAATTATGAGGCATAAAAAGTTTGAAGCATTGAAGATTAATTTTCCTCCATAAATATATAGATCATAGTCAAATTCTATATGACTAGTTTTGCCCAGAGCAAAAAATATTTTCAGTGTAATTTCATAGCAGTATGGAAGCAGATGATGGGACAACAGCATTGAAAAAGATTTTTGTGGATTGTAAGTGTCAGTTTAACATTCACAACCTGATGAATCGAGTAGAAGCTGCCGTTAAAATGTAGGGCTTTGTTGTTCTAAAGTTAAAAAAAAAAGTTGGGAGCTGGTACAGAAGTAAAATTAAAGTAAAAGAAAATAAATAATCCATATCTCTTCTGTTCTGTTTAAATATTAAAGTGTCAGCTGCAATTTTGAAATGACACAAAGAGGCTTGCTAAGCTGAAAAAGTGCTTCCATTGTTGGGTTTCCAGGCTGTCTGAGCTGTAATTTCATTGAGGGATGATTTTCTGGTAAGAGGTTTCTGAGTTGTATGGTCTGTTACAGGTTAAGAAGCAACTACACTATACACTTAATGAGTTTTGTTTCTTCTAATTGCTCTCTGATCTCATGGTCTTTCCCGAGAGCTATTGTTAGCTGCCCCTAGAATGGAGTTGCTCACTCTACCTGGAACTGCAATTCCTTTCTAATGCCCCAACTGTATTATTTGTCTGACCAACCAACCAGTCATGGAATTCCCAATGAATGGCTTTAGAAGAACTTTTAAAACTTTATGGAAGGCTCCTCCTGGTGGCACAGTCCATGGCCTACTAGACTGCAGTGCTGGAAGCCACAAGCCCACCACAGGTTTGGATCCCCAGGCATATTTCAAATATGTTTGTGATGAACTATGCAACTTTCAGCACTGCAATTCAGTATGCGACCAACTGTTTGAAAGAGGCTAGGCCACTATTGATATTTTAGGCAGGATTATCTTTTGTTGTAAGAAGTTGTCTTGTGCTTAGAGGATGGTGAGTAGCATCCTTGCCTTCATCAGATGAGATCTGAGCAGAAACCCTGCCCCTGGAAGTGACAACCAAAACCGTCTCTAAGAATGTCAAATATGCTGTAGAGACAAACTCACCCCTGTTGAGAACCATGGGTCTGGAGTGTGGTTCAAGATCCAGACTCAGCCAGTTAGATGTGTCTTTTCCAGAACTGGGAGTCAGAAAGTCCATAGAACATGCCACAGAAGTTCATTGCCTCCGTCAGTTCCTTGCTGCACCATCAGTAGCACCAGCAGTGCCTGGTTCTGTAATCAGAGCCAGCTGTGAGGTCTCTGCAGTGTCCCGGGTCAGCTGAGCTAGCTGGCGTTAGTGTCAGTGATGTCAGCAAACTATTTCTGGGCCATGATTTTGGCTGAGCCACAGCCTGTCTAGCTCCCCAACTCCCTGGCTTTCTTTTTTCTTTTTTTAAATTGTCAGAGAGCATATGTACTCATCAGAGAAAGATGGGGGCGGGGGGGAGAGCATCTCCCAATGGGACATACTCATGCTACAATCTCTTCTCCTCTCTCTCTCCAACCACACGATTTTGAACATGCACGTTTATGCACCAGAATATTTTTTAAGCCAACATAGCCTGGATGTGAACCATAGTCAGCCATGTGGGATCTCGATCCCTTAACCACTAGGCTACAAGGATACCCTGCCTGGCTTTCCTTAAAGCCTAGCTCTCCACTTTTCCAGTGACTCAATGAACAACCCAAATAGGCTTTCAATAAATTCCTTTCATTTTTAAATGAATAATGGCCTATTCCTGC